ATATGAGAAACACAGAATCTCATGTACCTGTGGAGGTACCTTGAAAAAAAATGACACATCCTTTCTTTGCATAAACTATGGAATCTGGCTCCTGCCAGATTACTCCCATCCTGCTGCTGTGGTGCTGCAGCAACACATGATTGTGCAGGATTATACTTTGACTGTTGGTCTCCCTGCCTGCTCGCAGCTAAGTACCGCTTTGCATAAACTGCAGGCAATAATGAAGCTCCTTAATGTTGGAGCCTTTATTCCTCATCGCTGCTGTCACCGTGTCTCTGCCTTGTATTTTACTGTAGGTATCAGCCGTAAAACATGAAGAGGTATAAATGCACTTTGATGTTTCAATATGACAGATTTATAGTTCATAGATATCGTTTGTATTTAAAATATTCATCATATCATATAGGTTTTCAAGTGGGGTGTTCATTTCAAATAAAAATCCATATTTTAGATCAAATGGTTAATATATTACTGTATAATTCAAATATGCATTAATCTGTTGCTGCAAATAGTCCCAGACAAATGCACTATTTACTCATATTTGAGTGATGTTTTCTAAAACTAGTGCCTAGCTGTTTAAAGTAAAATTGTAAGCATTACATTTGAATTCATTTAGATGACACTTTCATCCAAAGCAACTTACAATTACTAAGTATGTCAGAGGTCGCACGCCTCTGGAGCAACTAGGGGTTAAGTGTCTTGCTCAGAGACACATTGGGGGATGTGTCACAGTGGAAATTGAGCCCAGCTCTCTCACACCAAAGTCTTATCCACTGCACCATCACCACCCCACAAGTAACTATAAAGCTGTGATTCATTTTTGAAGATCATTAGCAACTTAGCTAATCTTCATTAGCAACAAACACTATATAAATAAAATTGAATTGAATTGAATTGAATAATGACAAACAGACTAACACACTGTTGAGAAAATAAAACCTTATTGTTTAGATCTAATGTAGGCTACAGTGCCCCTCTGTTTTAGGATAAGCATTTAAATAATCTAAGTATATTTTGTAACCCAAAGTTTACAACTTTAGTCAGAACAAATGGGTTTGGGCTGAGTGCCTAACAGACTGGGGGTAAAAAATTGTGACAGATTGGTTTTGGTCTTTTCATGGTTTTTCACCATGGTTATTGTTTGCCCACAATAAGAAAAATGTAGAATATTGCTAGCGTTATCTTTTAAAACAGTGGTTCTCAGTATTTTTTACATCAAGGAAGTCCGTTTGATAAGATTTTGTCCCAGGGTCCCCAGTCTGATAGGATTTTTACTTTTAGATGTTTTATTACAGAAAGTGTATGAAACCCATGACCGACATAGTCATAAGTCATTGTGTTATAAAATAAATAACAAAAATAAATAATTCCTGTTTTTGACCTCCTGGAACCCCCTCAAACAACGTTTTACTGTATTATTATAATTATAATAATAATTATTATTATAATTATATTATTATTATGCACGTGTGTGTTTGCATCTGTCCGCAGGTAACCTCGCATACTAATGGACTCATCAGAAATCATTTTTAAAAACCCATTTTATTGACCGAGCCTGTCCTAAAGCTTAGACTTTAATTTTTTCAGTAGCAGTTGCCATTTTACAATATGCGTTACGAAATAGCAAAAGGCATTTCTGGCAATTGGTTATGCCAAAAACAAAGCTTACCAAGTCTGTTGTAGGCCTTTGTCATGGCTCAAAATCTGACATCTGTGACACTGTGGGCGTGTCTGCTCTGTTAAGTTAGTTCTTAGTCAGTTAGGTTATTTTTTAGTCTTTTCTGTATCTGTTATTTTGTCTCTGTTTTGGGGTTCAGTCCGTCTGTTGTCTTGTGTCTAGTTTACACTGTGTGCTCGTGCTTTTTGGTCTGAAGTGTGTCTTGTTGGGGGGTCGGTTTGTGATCTATTTAGTTTCATTATTATTCTGATTGTTCTGTTATAGTCTGTCCTTTTTATTAAGTTTATTATTCAGTTTGCCTGTCTGTCCTGTTTTAGTTTTGCCTTATTATGTTTAGTGTATTTCTGCATTTAGATTTGCTTGTGTCTGTCCCCCCAGTAATTCCTCTGCCTGCTTGTCCGCTAAGTGCTTTGAGTTCCAGTTAGTGTATGGTCTTGTGTTTTGCATCTGTTAGAATCTGTCTGTTTTCCCCTGCTGTCACTCTACCTGTCACTGTGCTTGATTAGTCCCTCATGTCTTTCACCTGTGTATCCCCTCCCAGCTTGTTAGCCCGTGTGTGTGTGTGTATATATGGTTGCTTGTTTCCTCAGTCTGTGTCCGGTCATTGTAGCGTGTATATGCTCTGTCTGGTGTTGTAGTGTTTACCCGGCCTTGCTCGTCATCCTTTTTCCCTGCTGTCTGGATTATCACCCTTTTTGGATTTCTGTTGGATTACCTTGTTTAATTTGGACTCGGTTTATTTTTGGTTTACATTGAACTCAGCCACTCTGCCAGTAAGTGTGGTCGCCTTTTGTTGCTTCAATAAATCCTCTGAACTGTACCTGCTCCACTCAGTGTCCTGCATTTGGATCCACCAACCTTCCTTACACACCAAACCCTGACAGACATCCACAGAAAAGTTGTGTATCATCTTGAACTGGAGCATCTGCAGATTAATTCCATACCCGATAAGATTATGATCCACTAAAGTCAGGCACAATACAAGATGAATAAATCCTTAAACTTGACTCTAAGGGAGCTGGGAGGGACAAATGCGTGAGATTCAACTCTTCTTTATTTGGGAGGGAGGGCTTTTATTTGTGTGTTGTTTGGTGGTTACAACAAAATGTTTTAAATAAATAAGAATGTTTAAATTCAGAAGGTATCGCCCCGTTTATTGTTTCCTTTTTAAGTTTACACAGTTAGGCAAACCCAGGATGCAGTTACAGTACCATTACACTATTCTAAGCATCTTAAAGAAAACTGCAACTTTTGGCTACTACAGAAAAACACCTTGAAAAAAACTTTGCATATATCTATATAAGAAAATATCCGTACTGTAATACACAAATCTCACAGCCTGTCCTCACACACAAAATTACAACATGGGTTCATAGTTGAAGGGCTTAAAACAACCGAATTTTACATTATAAGAAACCTCTTGCGGCCGTGTGACAGTGCATGTGAAATAACACCAAATGTAGGATAGTGATGTGCAGATCAATCCTAAAGTATCGATATTTCTGATACCAACATTTCCTGCTCTAGTATCGATACTCATATAAAAGGATCGATATCTAAATTCAATCATTTGGAGTGAGTGTGTGTTTTATCATAAGTATCTTACTGTCACCAGAATGGTCTAATTATACTCGGTTGATGGGAACTACTTTTATTTCCGCCTGTCAAAGTCATGTGACAGTGACAGTGAAATACTTTGGCAACACCGCAAACTTCGCTAAACATCTGAGATTAAGTCTGTCACAATAATAGGATGATGTTATGAAGCGGCAGGTCTGAGCAGGATATTTTTATTATAATTAAAGAAAATCACAGTAGTTTGATGTCTTGTCATTATGCAGCTATTATTTTGAATTGGTAAGGTTACAGCCTACTCCTTAATTCTCTCATAAATACAGAAACGGGAGGGGTGAGGTCACATTAAACTAGAAATAAAATACGTAAAAAGTATTGGTATCAGCAATACCAACCTGGTTATTACTTGGTATTGGATTGTTACGTGGTATGGCACATCACTAGTGTAGGATATAAATAACCACAAAATTCCTACTTGGTGGTGGGTATGGTGGATGGTTTTTGAAGTATTATTAGTGTTCACTAGCTAGTGTTAGCAATAATTTTGGTGGGTTTTTTTGCGTTTTGTAGTGTTTATTTTTAGTGGTTTAGGTAGTGATTTTTGTGTAGTATTAGCTACTGTTTGCTCTAGCGTTAGCTAACGTTGCCATTAGTTCTAGCTAACTATGTTACTGTTTAAAAGCTTTGACAGCTCCCCAGAAGCCCTTAAGCCATGGATATACTTGCTTTTAAGTACGCATTCGCATACACAAGATGGCAGCCACGCGTATGCTGCGTCCCTTTGGAGCGCAGGTTGTGCATGTCTCCAAGAATTAACACTATGCGTCCGTGAGATGCAATTCAGCACATGAACATTTGTCGATCTGATCGGCAGGTCAGCAGCAATCTACTGTTCCACACTAGCCCAGGTGGTGGCAGTATGCAGTTGGTTTGCCAACCGCCATTAAACGCAAAAGAAGAACAAGGTCAGCAGCAGACTTTAAAAAAGGAGATTTATGGCGGGATGTTTACAATAAAACTCCTGGAGCTAATCCGCAATTACCGAGATCGTTATGATGTCTCATTAAAATTACAACCTGCTCGAGTGTCACTATGTTTGGTTTGTTTACGATGTGCAAATTTGGAGGTTGTCGGAGGAAGATTATCCGGTGTCAGCGAGGGATGTCCTGGTCCTGGTCTACCCCCTAGTGGATTCAGGTTTAATCCTCCAGGTACATGCAAAGTACGCTGGCAAGTATGTGAACAATGCCGTTTGCGTTGGCGACACTTGTCTACACCTGCGCATTGTTAAAAAGCAAGTATATCCAGGGCTTTAACCCTAACCATCATAGGGGTGTGTGCCTAAACCGTGATTGTATGCAAGTCGACTGGTTAACCCTACAGCTGGTCAAGGCCAATGCGCTAGCAGGTAGGGTTAACCTTTTTTTGCTGCAATGGGGAACAGAAAACACGGACGTGTTGGAAAACATATTACTTGCTATTACCTGATACTCCACTTATAAACTAACATTACAAAGTCAAACAGTCAAAAAAAGATTTGTTTGACTGTTTGAGGTATTGCTGCACACAAAGCTCATACTTATTATGAGAGTGTGAAAGCTCAAATAAAGTAATTCCTGCTTAAAAAATATGTTCAAAAGTTTGGTGACTGTTACATATTAATGTGCTGTCAGTTGAGTGAAAGAAGAGTGTTTCAGTTGTTTTATAAAGCATGAGAAAAAAGCAAGAGAGGACAAAGCCATCCTACCTTGGTATCCTTGTGTGGCTGACAGTCAATCTGATGAGAGACGGATGCCGTTTGGTTCATCTTTGCTCCTCAGTTTCACTCAATGCTCTGTTCAAATAAAATTCCCAACACTGCTCTAGACTCCTAGCAGCTCAATTTTAAAGTTTCCACCGACTTCCAACTGGCTGCTTCTTGTCTCCAAGCTGACCAAAGCACAAACTGATTCTAATAATACTGAAGCCTGCAGAGCTGCAGCACTGGAAACACTCTCCCCTCGTTGTTATTGAAGCTACACCAGAGGCGATACGTTTAAATACACATTCTGTTCTCCTTCCTTTGTTTCTGTCTCTGGCAATAAATGGTCTCAATGCCACATTTGAATGCCGTCCCCACCTCTCTCCTCTTCCCTTCTCTTCTTCAGCAAGTATGTGCTGCTGACAGACGGTTCATAAACCAGGATGTTTGCCAGTGCCTCCCACATATGAGGACGTTTCTTCATCAGAATGCAAATTTGCTGGAGGCGAAGATATTGCGGGCATTTGGTTGGAGCTTTTAGATCTAAAGCATTTCGTATTCAAAGCTTACAGCAGGGGTTTAGTGTTGTCTGAAAGGCATTTTGACAAGACGTGTTGTTGTTTTGAAGGACTCACATTGATGAATGAATGTTAAGCTCCAACTTTGACCCTACGGGTACCTGCTGCTGTTTATTCCATTCCAAAAGCCCGATATGGAGAATCCACTTTATTTAAAAAGATGTAGAGGATGAGAAGCAGACTGGCTGAAAACAAATTTCTGTCTTGAGACAACTGCAAGCTTTACAGACAGACATCAGACTTTTTTTTTTGCGATTGAGAAAATAATCCTACTTCTTAAGCTAAATACTGTAAAACTTAATTTAATTAACTGGGCATTTATATGCTTCAATCACAGAACTCACCCTGCCTATATTTTGGACAGGCCTTTAATTCCTAATTCTTATTGAGACCTGCATTTATTTGTCAGAATGTGTAGCCATCTCCAGGTCAGTAAAAGGGGCAGGCATCTAATTGAGACTAGACTTTTAATTGAAGTTTCACAGTAAACTATTTTTAAAAAACCCTTGGATTTTATAGATACTTTATTCTCGCAGGACAGCGATGCTACAAAGTATACGGTACAAGGTAGATTTATTTGTCAAATTAACACTGTAGGTCCGCTTTTATCTTGTGAAGCTTTAGTCTCTGTTTGTTAGTCAGTGCAACTTACACTGTACATATACAGCTAAACTGAGGCTTATTGTTGACCATTTTCTCTCTGCTCGCCTGTCATCCACTGGTGTTGTGCAGAGTTTTGCGTGCATGCCGTGTGGCTGACAACTCGCGGCACGTCGCGGTTCCTCGTGGGTCTATTTCAAGTCCTACTATTTAAAAATGATATAATCTTTATGTTGTTCATCAATGGTGATAATGATCCGAACGTCCCGCGGCACAACATCGGTGAAGCTGAGGCTGCTTCTCTTCAGCAGGTGTTCCTCTTCTGTCACTACACACATAGCCTACATCCACACACACACATACCCTTTTTCCTCAAGGGTTAGGGTTACAATTTTGGATTTATTCACCACATTTATTAAAAGCTTATACTTACATTGTTATTTACAGCATTATATGTTGAAATGTATATTGTAATAGGCAGTATATTAACTTATTGGGAGATAACTGGTAGTTCTATGTAAAATCAGACGTTGAGCACACCCATATCGGCAAAATGGCACAATCCCTGTTTTGCTGCAAAGCTTCGACTGTGAGATTGACAGTCGAATCAGGCTCCGCCCATCAAAGCATAGAATCTTCGACTATTCAGGGTCAGCCCTAAAGCAATTATGAAAATGGTGAATAGAAATAAACTTTTTTTCATTGGAGCAGTGCTGAGGATGAATAAGAGTTTAAGAGTCTGATAGCGTCGGGGAAAAAGTTGCTCTGCAATATGGTGGTGTGGCAGCAGCAACTTCTATATCTCTTCCCAGAAGGCAGCAGGGTGAACAGACTGTGGCTGGGTGGGGACTGTTCTCTAGTATCCTTTGGGTTCTGCGTGGGCACCTCACCTCACCGGCAAACACATGATGATATATAGTATATGCATTGCTGTAGGTTAAACTAGTATATAAAGTAAAGTTTTGAATATAGGACTTTTACTTGTAGAGAGTATATTTACAGTTTAGTACTAGTACTAAGTTGCCTTAATTTGGTGCCATCAGTCATTTTGTAAGAATTAATGAGATTTATTTAAAAGAATGGGCATGCACTTCTGTAATAAAACACCTCATGTGCAGGTCATACATCAGTCCCTGACAGGATGTGAAAATGTATGAATTTTGTTCTGACTTCATATTCACACATATGTTAAATCTTCATCCCATTTCCCAGACATGTTGTTATTTGTTACAGTAAACTGTTGTCCCCATTAAAAATGTATGACTATGATTCATATTTGATGAGCTGGTTACTTTCTATGCCACCAGTCATATTTATTTGCGAATATGATCGCTGTCATTGAGCGGGTACAGGTTTAAACATATAAACTCTCACTGGCCAGGTTTCTATTTGTTTTTCATTCACTTTAATACCAAAGATTATAAAGACAAAGGCCAATTTCCAGCTCATGCTCTTTATCGATAAAACAGCTAATTTATTAGACACTGATATGTAGTCTTTATGTGCAAGACGCAAAAATAACTGTATACTCAAGCTCATGATTGTGAGGCACTGCTGAGTGTTTGATCAATATGAGTGTCCATGTAGCATTGTTTTTGCAAGGACAAAGAATTTCACCATTTTTTTTTGCATGCATAGGAAGCAGTGTAGGGATTTCTGGCACATCACCGACTTCTAAAGGTGCATGGAGAATAGAATAGTAGTTTGAAGAGCTCCAGCAACACTTGTAGTATAAAGAGTAAAGGAAAGTGACAACTTTATTATCAGACCAACCTGTTTCAGCTTGTGGACTTCATCGGAGGCCTCATAAAACACATTGAAAAAAGAGCACTGAAATAAAATGTGTATTAAAATTATAAAATTATCATATTTGGTCCATAAACAGGAGAAGTACATTTAGGAGGCACTACTTAAGCTTATATAGAGGATGTATTAACCTAAAATGTGTCAGTTTATTGTGGCATATATTTAAAATGCTTTACAAAGGTCTAAATTGTACCTTCTAAATGTAAAAGCTAAAATAAAATATAATACAAAATAAATATAAAAATGAAAATGAAAAGAGCGATAGCCATAAGATCCATTATTTATCCACATAAATAAGAGATTTGGAAATATTCAAAACTCCACTATAATAACTAATGAAAAAGTCACCATGACATTATCACCTCTTTGCCTGGATCTGCTCATTTCTATGCCCATAAGGCAATGAAGTTGTTCTGTATACAACAAGTGTTATTGAAGTTTTTACCTCTTGTATGCATAGGGCTTCTTAACGCTTCACTGATGCCACTTGCTTTCCTCAGCCTAGGGATGTAGGTATAGACAGTGCAGACACTGTAGCTGCACTGGGGCCCGGCCCCCACTGTACTGAGGGCCCTTGACGGGAGCAGCCCCGCCAAGTTATGGACTGGTCTTTGACAATTTCATAGTAACAAAGCAGTTTATCAGTCAATAGTAAACATGTGCATTTCCCCCTTTGACGTGAGTCAGTAGTTTTACCCACAAAAGTCTGTAGCAAGCAGTAGGCTATAAGATATATGGTGAAATATAAAAAACATTATTCCACAGATTCCACAGAATGAATTTAGTCTTATTTTCTTTGGTATTCGTGTCACGTAGCCGACAAATGCAGTGATGATTGCTGGGTAATATGTAAATGAATGCCTTATCTTAAGTTTCAATTTGATCATGTGACAAGACGACAAGACTCCAGAAATAGGGTGAAACGTAAATTCTGACAGTAGACTAGCAGAGCACACGTGCAAGCTAGCAGTCATGCTATTCACACATAAAAGTAGTTTGAAGAAGAGGCAGGAGAGAAAAGAACAGGAGCAGAGGGTCGCAAAGCTCCCAAATTAGATTGTTTACTGAGGACATTGTCAAAGATTTCGCTCAATGCAGGCTCATCAGATGCCTTTCAAATAGGTGAGTAAAGGTTGTTATTATTTCGGGGACAGGTCGCCTCTGAGTATTTAACAGTGTGTGCACCTCAGCTGGCCTGTTTTCAGAACATGGTGTTGTATTATGAGTAGGCCACTTTTCTTTCTTATTCACCATAATGTCTTGCCTCTCTGTCGAAGAGGAATGTGGTTGTCGTGATTTGGGAGGTTATTGTACTGAAATTGCCCGAAAAAGTCTGTGTCATTTCAGCACAGTGGACACCCCCTACACTGTGTTTTCACAGTGACAGCATTGGCCATGCTCCTTATAATTTTCTCTTTGACTTGTGTACTTTGCAAATACAAAAGTCTAGGTGACACAGTCTGATTCTAAAATACATCACATGATGGTACTTGAGACTGCAACTCAGCCGCAGCAGCAGCACGCGTTGGAGAGAGACGCACACAAAGAGAACTGTTGAATTTAATGTGTTAATATGGAAAGAAATCGATTTAAGGAGCTTTAAATTAACAAGGTTAGGTGTTTAATGCATCTAATCTTATCAGTTGTTAAACCGTAGCAAAACAAGGAAGCAAGGCACATAAATTTGCCAATTAAGGGTTCCCTTCTAGACATGAACATGTGTGCGTGTGTACTTCGTAACAGTGTAGCCCAAGGGCCCATCATAACGGCCTGCACTGGGGCCCGTTGTTACTACCTTACACCACTGGCACAGTCATTTTAGGATAAGTGAAAAAGTTGGGTTTCTGTTTTAAATACAGTTCATATAAGAAAACAATTAAAATACATTTGTGTATTAATTTGATTGTTGATAAGTAGACATAATTCAGTATTCACATCAAGTGTTGGGACCAGAGCTGATGTGTATATCAGCAATGATTTCTTGGATCTCCATTAGCACCACAGCTACTCTAAAATAGTAATTAAAATAAAAATAAATACTATAAATACAATACAAAATACTATTGGTATAAATTAAATTTCGCCAAAATGGTCACAACTAAAGATGATTTCTTCACTTATTTTAACCACTGGATTGTCACTTTTTTCCAGAATTTAGTTTTGGGGAAACAATGAAATCACAGTACTAGTTAGTGATACAAACAACACTGTCCTGAAACACAGACAACCCCGTCCACAAAAACAAAAGAAGCAATATTGTCATAATAACCCATGTCTATCTACACAATGACTGTATTTGTTAGTGGTATGGTATAGTTATTTTTTCCTTCTTTGAATGA